CGGCGGGCCAGCTTGGGGAAGATGATGGTGGTGCTGCGGAAGCGCAGGGCGCGGGGCCGCGGCTCCAGGGTCAGCTGGCTGCGGTAGCTGCGCCACGTGCAGTTGGGCGCCGCCACGATCGTCTCGCTGTAGGCCGTGACCGTGGGCACCGGCGCGAAGACGACCTTGTCCCGGAAGTGCTTCTCCGAGGCGTACTTGACCTCCGAGTTGCAGCTGGGGGCGGGGGGGTGGACAGGGGTGAGCCCAGGGCCGTGTCACCAGCCCGCACGGTCCGGGGGCAGCAGCACCCGGAACGTGGACCCACCTGGGCTCTTCCGAAGCGCTGAGGCTCAAAGGTCAAAGAAGGGCTGAGGGGCCCAGCCAGGCTGGAGGAGACTCAAGTGACCCGGTCACCTAAATGCCCCCCGTGACCCTGGCCGCATCCTGCACCGGATAATAATAGGCCACCAGAGGACATTCTGGGGCAATGGGCGGAATTTGACGGGGCAGTGGCGGCGTTTCGTCTTTAGCTGGCCCGCTTTGGACAAGTGGCCTGTCATTACGGGAGAGGATGTCCCTGTTCTTAGGAGGGACACTGGCCAGAGTATTTTAGAGGTTCAAGGTCACCAACCTCCTCAAATGCATCAGAAAAAAATTTTCATTCATGCAGAATGAGAGATGGGCCGACGTCTGAGCAAACGGGCCAAAGGGAACGAATGGAAGACTCGGCACGAGGGGCCCTGCGCCCCTGCAGCTTCCCCCTCCCCCCGAGCGGCCTCTGCGCCCCCAGCTCATCACCCTGGCGGCAGGTGCTCCGGGCTTGCAGGGCGAGGACGTCACCCGTCTGGTTCCCTGCCGCATCCCCCAGGTGATCCACTTGGGAAGGGAAGCAGAAGCCCCAGCCAGACAGGGTGACAGCTAGGTTTTGTTCGCATTTTAAAAACTAAGAAGAGTCTTGGTGGGAAAAAATCGGTCCTGGGACCGTCCCTAGAGCAGGAGGGGCAGGAGGCAGGGGGCCTCCTCCAGTGGCCGGTCCAGGCTGGCGTGGACACATCCATCCTGAGTCTTGTGGCCGTGTGGGTGAGCCCCACAGAGCCTGGGCTGCACCTTCTGGAAGCCTGCTCCTCAGAAGCCCTCCAGGGAGGGCAGGCGGCTGGAAGACGGTCCCTGGTGGGGACGCCTTAACTCAGAAGTGCAGATGCCACGTGGGAGGGCACCTAACAATGCACATTCAGGGCAACGTCTGGGTGGTAAGGGGTGGAATTAGTCACGTGGGATGCGGTGTTTGCAGGACCCTCGACAAACACCCGAGTGGGAAAGGGGTTCCCGGCGAGCCCATGTGGTTCGGTTACAGACACCAAAAAAATCTGGCGGGAGGACGGGGTGGGTGCATTAGCTGTGTGAGTGGTTATGCTGATCATTCTGTGAGGTTGGATTTAAAAATCAGCCAGGTTGGGGATGAAAGTCAGTGTGGAAATTTTCAGCTGAATGTGGGCCTGGGTTGGGGGAATGGAGAAGGCCCCTTGGAGGCAGAGTCTCTTCCAGTCATGCCTGTACCTCCACAGGGAGCAACACCCAGGCGGGCTGCCTGAAAGAAGGGGAACCCGCTAAGCCACCCGGTCCCGCAGCCCTACTCACCGGATCTCGTGTGTAGGTTCTGGGTTCACCTCAATGCTCTCCCCAAAGAACACAGGCAGTATCCGGGGCCTCATCTCACGCGCCAGGGTGCTCGGGGGGCCGGAAGGGGGCTGTGGGGAAAGCCAGGGCCATGGGGTTATGTGAGCAGCCCGTGGGCACTGCAGCCTCAGGTCCCCGCTGGGCGCAAGGTTGCCCCACACCCTTCCAGCCCTGGCTCGGTCTGGGAGCCTGCTTTGAAAGAGCCCCCCACCAGCGTCTCTCTGTGAAATGCAAGCACTGTGATGTCCACGGCTCCCCACCCACCCAGTTCCCAGGCATCTCCATAAGGGGATGTGGTAATGACCTCTTTCAACTGCTCAGCCCACTACAGAGCCCTGGACAACGGGGACCCCTCTCAGGGAGCCCCCTGAGCCCAAGCTGCCCCACTTGGTGGCACAGCACTTCCTGGCTCTACAAGGGGCTGAAAACCACGCTCATCCTTAGAGAGGGTTCCCCGCCTTTCTCGGTGCAGCTGGAGGCAACCCCCAGAGGGGGAGAGGGCTCCTGCCACACCTGTGCTGTGACACCTGCCGGAGGAGGGACACACAGGTGGGAGCGTCCTCAGGGAGGAGGGTGCGGGCACTGGGTTTTGCCTACGCAGCACCTGCCTCTGCTGGAAGCTGCATCGCGTCTCCCTGAGGAGGAGTGGTGTAGGCGTGGGCTTGTGACCCGCGCTGGGCCAATGAGAGCCCTGCTCAGGTTTCCTGTCAGAGTTAAGGGGAAAGCCACTCTGAGGTACCTGAACATGTGGTGGGTTGGGGGAGCAACTTGCCACTACTTGAGGAAAGCCTACCCAGAAATGAAGCAACACAGAGAGAGCAAGGGTCAAAGACGGTGAAAGAGCAAATCTTGCTAACACTGAGTGCCTGGATCAAGCCATGACTGAAGTCAACATTCTGTTCTACTTTGTGGCTCAAGACAGCTTGAGCCACCTTTCTGTTTTGGCAAGGTGGGAAAAGACGCCATCTATAGGCCCCACAGAAAAAAAGCCACTTCAGCTCTATGCAGAGAAAGTACTTTGCACTCCCCCACCCCATCCATCCCATAGCTCAGCTGCTGGGATGTTCCCTGGTCTGTTTTAAAATCTGCCCCTGAGAAAATACCTGCATATGACACAACCAACAAGGGATGAATTTCCAAAATATACGAAGAGCTCATACAACTTAATATCAAAAAAAAAAGGAAACCAATCAAAAAATGGGCAAAAGACCGACCTAGACATTTCTCCAAAGAAGACATCCAGATGGCCAACAAGCACAGGAAAAGATGCTCAACATCGCTAATTATTAGAGAAATGCAAATCAAAACCTCAGTGAGGTGGCGCCTCAGACCAGGCAGAATGGCCACCATTAAAAAGTCCACAAATGATAAATGCTGGAGAGGCTGTAGACAAAACGGAAGCCTCCTAGAATGCTGGTGGGAACGCAGCCTGGCACAGCCACTATGGAAAACAGTATGGGGAGTCCTTAAAACACTTAGACTTACCACATATGATCCAGCAACCCCATCTCTGGGCATCTAATGCGAGAAGATACATGCACCCCCGTGTTCACAGCAGCACTGTTTACATCAGCCAGGACGGGGAAGCCACCTGTCTGTCCTCCGACAGATGACTGGCTAAAAAAGTTGTGGTGTATTTATTTATACAATGGAATACTACTCACTGATAAAGAATAAAACAGATGACTGGATAAAGAAGACATAGTATGTATGTGTATATATAAATATACACACAATGTAATATCACTTAGCCATAAACAAATGAAATATTGCCATTTGCAGCAACATGAATGAGATTATCATATTATGTGGAATCCAAAAAAGGTAAAATTTGTGTATTTGTATTTACAAACCAGAAATAGACTCCTGGACATAGGAAACAAACTATGATTACCAAAGGGGAAGTAGGGGAGGGACAGCAGGAGTTTGGGATTAGCAGATACACCTTACTACATATAAAATAGACAGACAAGGACCTACTTAATGTGCAGCACAGGGAACTGTAATTTCTTACAAGCTATTATATGTACGTGTAACTAAATCGCTTTGCTGTGCACTTGAAACTAACACTGTAAATCAACTATACTTCAATGAAAAATAAACCTTAAAAAATAGTCTGTCCCTGAAGTTCCACACCCTGTGGCAACAAAGTCAGGGACCCACCCCACCCCCAGTTCTCCCCGCAGGGAAAGGGATGGAGATCCCCCAGCGGAGCTGGGGGGGCCATCTTCACCCCAGACTCAGCCCTGTGGGCCTCTTCTCCCCTCCCCCATTGTCCCCAGAAAAATCTCCATCACCTAAGTGTCCTGCAGTGACACCGAACCCCCGGGAGGGCCCAGAAACACAAGCGTTTCAAAGGGGAACTCTGACACGTGACAGGACCAGGAGCCTCTCCAGGACCTTCCAGAGCAGCGCCTGGCAGTCCCCTCAGCGTCCCCCCGTGACTTCCTCCCGGATTCACCCCGTCCCTTCAGTCAGAAACGCTCTGACCCCGCCTACAAACGCCTGCAGAATAAGCCCCGGCTCCGCCTGCGTTACCGCCGGCGTGGCGCATGCCGCCAGCCCGGCGGCATCTGCTGTAGCTCCTGCCTCCGCTCACACGGCGGGAAGCACTCGTCCCAGCCCCCCGTGGGGGGCGCGTGGCAAGTGCGGCCTGACACGCGTCACCTCCCGGCCGAGGATGTCACTGCCAGCGTGAGACCCTTCAGAGCCTTCTCTGCCCTTGGCTCCATCATTCAAGATGGTGGCCCCTCGGCCGGCCCGAAACACCCCCCGTGCCTCCCACGGTAGCCCACGCGGGCCCCCACAGCACGGTCGGCTATGACAGACACATAAGAGCCAGAAAGAAACCTCGGCTGTGTGACACCACGGTGGCTTGCGGATGTGTGTTACCCATCGCAGTGCAACTGGCCCGCGCTAGGACAGCCGCTGTCCCACACAAGGCCACTCGCTGCTGTGGCTACACACACTCACACTGGTGCTCAGTCAGCGCAGGGGACGTGGCTGGGGGTCCCTCATTCACACTGCGGTTACTGTGGTAGCAGAGAAGACAGCCTCCTACCGTGGAGCTTGCTGCCTGAACCCCTAGTCAGATAATCCCACAAGCAGAGTACAAGTCCAGCTGTGGTGGACTGTAATCACCGAGGGCCTCTAGAGGGGGTCTGACCATCAGGCAATCAAGGAGGGCCTCCTTGGGGAGGTGACATTTGAGATGGGATCCGAAGGGTGAAGAGGAGTTAGCTGTGGTCCTATAGGTCACATGGCCTGCACTTAAACACATCCTGCAACCCCACCCCACCAGGCACCGGGGTCACCTGCTGGGCCTGTCAGACCCGTGGGAGACAAGGTCACGCCACATCCCATGCTCCAGGGCTGCAGCCCTCGCTGTGTCCACTTTCCACTGACACTTGGCAGTTTACTTAACCTTTCTTTAGAAACCAATTTATCTTCCTTTTTACTTCAGTACCTACCTTAGCCCCGTCTAGAACATTCTACGGGACAGTGCTGCTCTAAGGGACACTCATTTCACTTGTTGTCCGGAGGGTCCCGAGATACAGGAGCGAGGGCTCAGCCTGCAGCCCAGCCCCGGACCCCACAGGCTGGACAGACAGGGAATCAAACTCAGACCAAGTCCTGCCTGTTCAACTGAGAGGTCCCCTACATCTGCCCCCGCCCTGCCAGGCCCTCCTCGTCCCCCCCGGATGAGGACAGATCGCAGCAGCCGATGCTTCGTGAGCTCTAACTGCACAGTGGGCACCCCACGCACCCGTTCATCCCGCCCTGGAAGGGAGCTGCTGTAGATGCTGAAACAGAGGCCCAGAGTGGCTAAGGAACTTGTCTGAGGCCACACAGCGAGGAAGAGGCAGAGCTGGGATCTGACCCCGGGCAGTCTGGCCCCAGCGTCTGTGCTCTCACCCAGGACTGGCACCGCAGCCCCAGGCCTGTCCGAGCACTTCCTGCTCAAAGCAAGCGTGCCTTCCCACACGGGCCTCTGCGCACCTCCCTCTCACCCGCCGTGGCCACACCCCAGGCTGCCTCTGTGCCTTGGCTTATGCTGTTCCCTATACTGGGAATGTCCTTCCCACTCCTCCTCACTTGGTCCCGTGTGACCCCTCAGGCACCATCTCCCTGTCTCCCCAGCTGTCCTCCTCAGGGTCCCTGGAGTTCCTGCCTGCTGGCTTCCATCGCTGCGACTCCTCTGTGTGTCCATCATCCACAGACCAGAAGCCCCTTAAGGTTCAGGACCCGATTACCTCTCTGGCCCCAGGGCCTGGCACCTCACAGACACTGGGCCGTCCAATGGCAGACCTCACAGGCAAAGCAGTGCCCTGCCCCCATGATCTGTGAGCCCCCAGGCCAGGCCCATGCCTGTCTTCAAATCTGTTATCAGCTTAGGGTCACTACGGCCCCTCCTCAGCTGATCACAGTGTCCCCAGAACAGGGGCCGAGGAAGGACCACAGGAAGAAAAGATCTGAGACTTGGAGAAAGGGGTTCCTCAAAGGCCCCCAGCAGTTGTCTTCAGGGTGGCCCCATCTCTCCCCTGCTGGGCGTGGCAGGTGGAACAA